CACGCCTATATTTCATTTTAGTTTTTAACCCAACATTTCCACATCTCTCGCCACTCTTCACAACTCCAATAAAAGAAGCTTAGAGATCTCTTCGGAAATACGTGGAACCAAAAAATGGGTTTAGGCTTATTAGCTTCAAGAACCTTAAAATCCTCGAGAATCCTCTCTTCTTAATACTCTAGATTCCAACCCATCGTCACCAAACCCAAGCCCCAAACTCTTGGTGCCTTAGTAGCCACAGCAGCACCACAGTCGGAGCCCACTCCACCTGCATTGAAGAAACTCGTTGTCAGTGCCCGTGTCCACCTCACTAACCCAGATAAAAGTGGTGGATGGAGAGATAAGTAAGGATGGATGTTGGGCTAATGAGTGAGGGAAGAAATAGGTACATGAAATGTGAGTGGGGAATGAATTGGTCCAATGAGAGTTAAGGAATAAATAAAGAAAGGAAATGGGAGATAAGGAAAGGTGAAAGAATGGAAAAGAAATGGGAGCTTTCACAAGACCATTTCAAACAAAATTCTTGTGATATTCACCCATACCAAAGAAAAAGCAAACAAGTGACTTTGCTTTAAGAAATTCGCCCTATTTGGAAAAGAAATGAAGAGAGAATGGCTTGGTGAGGCTTCGACCCAAGAATAGAGAAAAAGTTAAGTGGAAAAGCAAGCTAAGTGAGGGCTTGATTTTGTGTGATTTTAGAACACCCGTTGGCTCTTTCTTATTATTTTCCTATCCTCAAGCTTCATTGCACCTAGAAAATCGCAAGGAAGAAAAGAGAAAGGAGGAAGAAGAACAAGGCTTGGAGAGGGCTCGATTTTGGAAGAGATTGAAGAAAAATCAAAAAGTTTTCTCTTGCATGCCATTGTTGGAGCTTGAAGGAGAAAGTGGAGGATCGGTTTGGTGATCCTAAGGTAAGAAAGATGAATGTTATTATTTTGTTTGAATGCATGCTTTGTAAACCAATTGTGATGTGAGATTATGCTTGTGGTAGTAAGGATCTACAAAGATTCAAAGAACCTGATGCATGCATGTAGGTGGATATTGGAACGTATGATGATTTTGAGCTAGACAAGCAATGGGTAAGTATTTTAGTTTTGAAATCACAAGTAAACAAAGAAAATAAGATATTTATTAATTGTCTATCCTTGTGGCAGCATTGGTGACCGAAGATGTGAGGGAATTGTGAATTGTATGTGGAATTCAAGTTAAAACCAAGAGGTAAGCATGCAAATTGACTACATTGTGTTGTGTTGGCTTTGTTTGGTTGAAGTATATGGATTGTATGTTAAATAATTGTGAATAATGTTGATAAAAACTATGAAATTAGGTTAAGGATTTGTTGATTGATGTGCTGCCGTATGTGAGTACAATTAAGTTTATTGGGTTTGAATTGTTCCTTGGAAGTGTGTGAGAAAGAGAAGTTTACTGTAGTGGCATGCCGAAAGAGGTAACGGGTGATCGGTAAGTAAAATTAGCTAAATACACACCCGAATCAATAACGACATAGTGTCCCACCATTGTACGGTAAGTAAGGGTTGTCTATTTCAAAATTTTCGTACTATATATGTTGATATACGATTAATAAACATGTTGATTTACTTTAAATGCAATTTGTGGACAGTATGTGTTGTTAGCCTTAGTAGGCAATTTTTAAATGGATTTGCAATCAAGTTATATTGAATTTGAAGATAGAATGAGTTGGTAGAATGTTAGGCTTGACAATGTCTATTTTGAGAAAGGTTTTGTATATATATGTATATATATATTAACAACATACGTAAAGAGTTTTAGAATTTGGGAAATAAGCTTTTTACCAGGATTTATGTCAAAACATGCTTTATTGGTTTGTGTGATGTGCATTCATGAACAAATTACATATATTCACCATGCTGATTTGATATTTAAACCTCATGCAAAGGCTTTCTATTATAAATCTTACCAACGAGTTTATCATGTTACCATGAATGGTATTTTTTTTGTTTGGAAATAGTTTTAAAATGAGCTTTTGAGAATCCAATTTGTTTTTAAATGGTTTTGTCAAACAAAAAGATTCGAAAGTAGGTCGAATGTCACATTAGGATAGTGTGACCCTTGTGCAAAAGTGAGCTCTAGTTAGAGAATCTTTGGGTCACCGACTGGCTGTTAGACGTGGTTGGAGCCACGGTCTGTGATGTATATACGTGGCTAGGCCACAAGTTGTTATACATGGTTGCAACCAGTTGATTTCTTTGATGTCAGCCAACATTGTTGAGATTGCCATGGCTGTTGAAATCTGATAAAGTAGGGCTCCCTGATGTTATTATGTGGAAGCAAGTCCACGAGTTCTTTATTTTTATCACCTACTCGAGAGTGATATCTTTTTGGGTTTTCAAATATGTATTCTTTCGAATGATGAGAAATATGAGTTTTTTTGCAACTCCCTTATTTATACGTTGGATTTGTGTTTAATATCTCGACGATGAGATCGTTTATAAACTTGTGTATAAGCATCGATATTGCTGGATTTTACGAGAACGTGCATGCTTATGTTAGCTTGATTTTAAGTAAAGAACAACAAATGATTTTGACGGTAGAAATCTTTTACTTACACTGGTTTTATTATATTACTTGAAGTAATTATTTTGTAACACAACCTTGGAGTTTACTTATAAGGTACAAATGCTTCATTGATTTTAAATTGCTTTTATATATTCGCATGTTTTTAATGTTCAAATTTCCTATCATTGGCTTGTTTCCCATCTATGCCCTACTCACAGAGTCGATGATTACTGAGTCTGTGAGACTCACCCCCTTTATCTTCCTTTTACAGATAAGTGATCAGCTCAAGTATATTTCCCCTAGCATTTTGATTCATTGCAACGTAAGTAATGGCTTCTCTTAGACTTCCACTTCGAGTCACTCCGCTGCATAGGGGTCATGTTGTGTAAAACAGTTGGATTTTTAAAACTTATTAGTTTATCGAAAGTGTATTGCTAGAACTTAGAGGTTGTGTAATGAATATTAAGTGTGATGTTGAATTTGTTGAAAATCTATCGAAATTGGATATTGTCATCTAGTAGCGACATATTAATTACAAATGTTTACTTGGTTTAAGTAAACAATAGTATCACTATTATTAGTCGATTTATAAATGTAAAAGAATGTTTAATTTAATTATCTGAAATATCAATTAAGACTTGTTCGGGATTTGGAGGGTTCACTCGCAAGTCTCGAACGCTGGTAACGGTCAGGGAAAAGGTCGTTACATTGTTATTATTTTGTTTTATTTTTTAATTGTCTATTTGTTTCTTGAGTTTTTTATGCTTGGTACTATAACATCATATATAAAGCATATCATCTATTATACTTGAAATTATAGTACTACATATTAAGGATATTTAGTGGATATCAAGTACATATCATAGCATAACAACAATATCATTATGTTGGTATCATAGGCCCCAAATCAAGGATGTTAGGCATTATGTTTGGAATCATACTACTACAAATCAAGCATATTAAGCATTATAATTAAAACTATAGCTCCTCAGATCAATGATATCAAGTATAATGATTGGAACTGTATCATTAAAGATCAAGGATATCAAGTGTTATGCTTGATACTATAATATCCTCTATCAAAGATATCATCTGTTATACTTAAAATTGTAACACTACAAACTAAGGATATTTAGTAGAAAATTCTTATAAATAATGAAAATAATATTAATAAAGAATAACTTTAAATTAAAAAAATTATAAATAACAATAGTAATAATAAGTCAAAGATAATTATTTTAAAGTATTGATAATTTTTTAAAAAAATTTATGTTTTAATTTTATTAACAAATTTCCATATTTATTATTTATTATTTTAGGATGATTATAATATTTGTTATCATTTTGTTTTTTTTTTAAGTGTACCTTCAATTCTTGGCCTTTGGGCTTAAAACAATTGTGTCGAGAGAAAAACAAATTTAGGCCGAACCTAATTGACCTGAAGCTTCAGCAACAAATTTTTTCCCTTTCTTCCTTTCTATTTTTTTCTTTTTTTTCTTTTTTCTAACGAAAACACACTGTTTCAACAAAGTATAAAGACCCAAACTTCACATTATCTTTTTTTTCTCTCTCTAGATACTTTTCTTTTTTTTCCTCCTTTCTCTTTAAACTAACCTTTCCCACTCTAATTCTTCCTTCCTTTTCCTCTCTTCCTTTCATTTCACTAATTTTTCTTTTCTTTCTCTCTCATTTGATAGCCATCTCTCTCCTTCTCACTTTAACCCCCAATGTCTTCTTTTCCTTAAAAACCCATAAAGTCTCTCAAAATTGATTGACCCTCATTTTCTTCAGTTTTGGTTTATACGCTTTTGCCTTTTTTTTAATTACTTTTATGTTTTATTTCCTTAAGTTTTTTTTTATTGATTTTTGTTATCAATGATTTGTAATTTTTATTTGGATCACATGTTTGTGGCTTGATAATGTTGATTGATTTTTGTATTAATGGTGGTTCTCTCTAAGCAGAAAAAGGTTTCCTCTTACACTCTTCTGCCTTCTTTTTTTTACTTTAAAACCTTTCTCTTGCACTCTGAACCTTTTCTATTTTCTAACCACCTCACAATTCAAACAATTTCGACAAGTTTCTTATTTTCTGAAACTTTGAAAAGTTCCAAATATGTTTTATATAAAAAAACTCTAAATAATAAAATACTAAAAGACCTCATGTTTAAATATAAAAAATGACTTTAATACTCTGTATAATATGATCAAACATGAATCAGTGTTGAATTTTTTTTTATATATGTTATAATATATAAAAAATGACTTTAATATTCTTAATGACATGGTCAAGCATGAAAATAATTTTGGATCTTCTTTTTATATATGTTACGTATTTGTAAAATAATAATTTAAGAAAAAAAAAAGAGTAATATAAAGCACATAACCGAACAAAAGCCCAAACGGGTCAAGTTGAAACCCGACTTGTGGGAATCACACGCCTGTATTTCATTTTAGTTTTCAACCCAACATTTCCATATCTCTCGCCACTCTTCGGAGCTACAACAAAGTAAGCTTAGAGATCTCTTCGGAGATACGTGGAACCAAAAAAATGGGTTTAGGCTTATTAGCTTCAAGAACCCTAAAATCCTCGAGAACCGTCTCTTCTCAATACTCTAGATTCCGACCCATCGTCACCAAACCCGGGCTCCAATCTCCCGATGCTTCAGCAGCAGCAGCAGCACCACAGCCGGAGCCCACTCCGCCTGCACCGAAGAAACCCGTTGCCGGTGCCCGTGTCCACTTCACTAACCCGGATGATGCCATCGAGGTGTTCGTTGATGGGTTCCCGGTGAAAATCCCTAAAGGCATGACTGTTCTTCAGGCCTGCGAGATCGCTGGAGTTGACATTCCGAGGTTTTGTTATCACAGTCGACTTTCGATTGCTGGGAACTGCCGTATGTGCCTTGTCGAGGTCGAGAAATCCCCCAAACCCGTCGCCTCTTGCGCCATGCCCGCCCTCCCTGGTTAGCTTTTCAATTTCATAATTTTCTTTTGCATTTTTTTCAATTTATTCATTTTTTGGATTAATATTGTTTAGATGAACGACTTTGAAGTTTTATGCCGATACATGAATTTTTTTTAATGATTTGGATTCGGGCCCTGAAATTAGTTATGTACGAGTTTATTTGCTTCAGTGTTTCCGTGTAATTTTTGACGATGTTATTTGTTCTGTTTAATTTTCTGAAAAATACAGCTTTATGGTTCATTGGTGTATGATTAATTGGCAGGCCAACTAATTTCTTTTCCATTAAGCTTAATTCTTCATAAAAGATGTTTATTTTCATTAATTTCTTTTAATTTTCTCTTAGTAATTGTTGCTTGGAAGTAAGCTAGACCTTTCGTGCGTCAAGTTCATTTACCTTTAGGTATTGATGTGCACATAAATCTAAGAGTTCTTGGCTGCTCTTTCAAACGAAGTGCTTGTGAATTGTCTTTTTAGTTTTTTCTGCATGTTAAACAATTTAACATTTGGGGAGTCATGCTGTGTCTTCTCTTACCTCTCATTAGTCATTTGTTGGTTTGGTTCCGCAATTTCGGAATACTTTATTTTTTTTTTTCTCTTTGGATTATTTTTTCTAACTATGCTTGGGAACTATAATATAGGAATGAAGATTAAGACGGATACACCAGTGGCAAAGAAGGCACGTGAAGGGGTAATGGAATTTTTGCTGATGAACCATCCACTGGATTGTCCAATTTGTGATCAGGGTGGGGAATGTGATCTCCAGGATCAGTCTATGGCATTTGGATCTGATCGTGGCCGTTTTACTGAAGTTAAGAGATCTGTTGTTGACAAGAATCTTGGTCCTTTAGTAAAGACTGTCATGACTCGTTGCATTCAGTGTACAAGGTCAGAAATCAACATAACAACCCAATGCCCTTCTTCCCTCCTTTACTTCTCTTTTTCTAAATTTTACTCTGGCTGTAAAACTGAAAAGTTGAAATTGAAAGAGTATCTGCTGCCACTCGAAACTTTATTCTTCTGAGCAATCAAATGTAAGGAGCATTTTTACCTATAGGCATTTGTGGCTACACATAGGAAAGAGAGAATGCAAATAGTGTTAAATCCCTCTTTTGAATGAATGGATGTTTCATAGTCACAATAATTGCTGATATTGCCAATTGGTAGGTTGATGCTTTTTGATTCACTAGTTTTCCTACACCCACAATGGTCATATAAGATTGTGATTAAGTTGGTGCAATCAATTTGCAGAGGAAAATTTGTTTAACTTAATTAGCTTAGAGATTAGACAGATTATGGTTTTTGAACATTTACACAGCTCAGTCCAAGTTCTAAAGCTTTTTGCAAAATTCATGCCATTGGTATGGGATGTCACCTGGAAACATTTAATGATGTTGCTTGTAGGAAACACCTCAGTTAATCGTAGATGAAATTTTGTTTGAAGTATTTAAGTCAAAGTACCTACCTGGCTTCTCTACTGTAGGAAAAAGTGTAATTTAGCCCCTCTATCCCAATTTTGAGTAATTAAATTCCTCTATTTTTAAATTTGGAAGCAAAGAAGGTCAATTACCAACACGTCCATTCATCATGCTAACATGAAGCACATGTGCCATTATGTGGAATTAAAATATTATTATTAACTGAGTGGAATTTTTTTTGAAAAAAAATATAAAAAGAATTTGGAAAATGGGTGATATGTGGCATGCAAAATGACACATGTCAACATTCACCTTGGGCAGGTTAAAGTCTTGCCCTTTAAGCCATCTCTTTCACCCTAACCCATTTTTCAATTTGTTTTTCATAGAATTCGATTCATGATCAAAAATAATATTTTAATTCTGCATCATTGCTTTGTCAAAAAAAGTTACATGTCAGTGCTATGTGTGCCATGTCAGCATAGTTAACAGATTTGGTAGACAGTGTTAGCAATTGTCCTTTGCTTTCAGATTTAAAAGTACAGGGATTAAATTACTCGATATTGAGATGGAGAGACCAAATTACATTCTTTCCTATAGTAGAGAGACCTGATAAGTACTTTGACCACGAAGTTTATGTAAAATCTCTAGCCTCATTCGTGTTCTTTTCTTTTTGAATTTCAAGCCAAAATTTGCATCCTCCTCTATAAGCAGTTTTTGGGGCTAGAGCAAGCCTTGTGATCTTTTGAGAATTTGATTGTTTGAGCAATATCTATGAGCAATATGTTGTAGTTCTATGATCCAAAGGTTTGAGTTGAGGCTAACAACTTCTGGTGTCTCATCAGGTGTGTTAGGTTTGCAACAGAAGTTGCTGGTGTTCAGGATCTTGGCATGTTAGGTCGTGGTAGTGGAGAAGAAATTGGAACTTATGTTGAAAAGCTTATGACAAGTGAACTCTCTGGAAATGTAATTGATATTTGCCCTGTTGGAGCCCTTACCTCTAAACCCTTTGCATTTAAGGCCCGAAACTGGGAGTTGAAAGGAACAGAGACTATTGATGTAACTGATGCGGTTGGTTCCAATATTCGGATTGATAGCAGAGGTCCAGAGGTTATGCGTATCATTCCACGTTTAAATGAGGTAAACTTTCATAAGATGCTTATAGTACGCTTATTTCTAGGAATGTTTGGTCTGATGCCTATCACTTAATTCTATCTATTGACTGCTTTTGCACTTGTCTTAAATTGTTTTGATCTCATGATGTCAGCAACTCAAAGACCGGTGTTGTTTCTGTTAGGAGATAAGCAGCCTTTATGTTAGTTCTTGGAAGGGATATGACTATTAACTTAAGATGTGGTTTATGTTAGCATTATATTGTCAGTGTGATTAATGCGGTTTGTAGATTTTCACAACAGTTTTTAGCAAGATAATATTTGTTTTGGTTAATTTCGCAAGATAAGTTTGAGATTGCTGATAGGTAATACCGTCGCATGGGCTGTGTGTAATAGAATTATTACAGTCCACTAGGAGTGTATTTATTCATTTGCTTTGTCATGTGCAAGCACTTTCTCTCTCGGTGCAAATTTATGTGAGTAAAATCAAATGAGAGTGTCTCCGTGCCTTATCATTCTTGTATTGACTAGACTCACAAGTTAAAATGGTCATGGCAGGCAATTTGTTTCGCACTCCTATGACTTGGACCCAATTGCTAATTGCTTGAATTTATTATTAACAATGTGAAAATTGTGAATTATGGATTGCTTCAATAGGGTTTATTTCATCTAGGTGCTAATTACTAAATGCTCTTCTCCAATTTGTGCAAGGATTTGAAGTAACTAAATTTTATTATCATAAATTACTGAAGTTTCAATCTTTAAATTGTGAAGGAGGGACTTTGCACTTTCAAAGCTGATTATATTTTCCAACTGGTGCTTTCCTTTTTATCTGCTTAACATGCTTGATTTATTGAAATGTTTGTAACTATCTATAAAAAATTAAGGGGAAGGAAGAAGAAAACTATGGCTGGTAATGTTCTGTTTGCCTCTCCAAATTAGATTTAACAAAAAGAAACCTTTATTTCTTCTGCTAATTGCCAGAGGGTTGATCTGTTTGGACGAGATAACTTCACCTGTTCTCTGGTTCACTGCCCTTTGCAGGATATAAATGAAGAATGGATATCAGATAAGACTCGTTTCTGTTATGATGGATTGAAGAGACAGAGGCTAAATGACCCCATGATTCGTGGTGCTGATGGACGCTTCAAGGCTGTGAGCTGGCGCGATGCATTGGCTGTGGTTGCTGAGGTTGCCCATCAGGTTAAACCAGAGGAAATTGTTGGGGTTGCTGGTCAACTTTCTGATGCTGAATCCATGATGGCACTGAAAGATTTGTTAAACAACATGGGATCAAACAATGTGTGGTGTGAAGGAACTGGCATGAGCCCTAATGCTGATCTAAGATACAGATATCTTATGAATAGTAGTATTGCTGGCCTTGAGAAGGCAGATGTATTCCTTTTGGTTGGTACCCAGGTAATGCACATACAACCCAAATTCCTGTATTTATACTTGTTGTCTGTGCTCTTGCTCAATGTCACAATGTCTTTATCCACATCCATTGTGCCTAGGTAGCAATTACTGATTTGAATCTCTCTCATGGGAGGTGTTGCATATTTCTTCTAAATTGAATGAATACATCAGTTGTGTACTCTTGCTTCATTCTCTGAATTATTTCCATAATCTTGTTTCTTACCTGTCTTCTGTGTGAATTAACTGTATATGTTGGGGTGGGAGTGTTATTTTTTGCCTTAGGTTGTAGGTTAGGTTTTTTTGTTTGGTAATAGTAACATTATCTTATATCTCAATGTTAATTTTCAGCCAAGGGTTGAAGCTGCTATGGTAAATGCCAGAATTCGCAAGACAGTTCGGGCAACAAATGCTAAAGTTGGCTACGTTGGTCCTCCAACGGAATTTAACTATGATTGCCAGCATCTTGGCACTGGCCCTCTAACACTTCTTGAGATTGCTGAGGGTCGTCATTCTTTTTGTTCAGCCATCTTAAATGCCAAAAACCCTGCCATCATTGTTGGGGCTGGGCTGTTTGAGAGGAAGGACAAAGATGCAATTTTTTCTGCTGTTGAAGCCATTGCAAAATATGGGAAGGTCATCAGACCTGACTGGAACGGACTCAATGTTTTACTTCTCAATGCTGCCCAGGCTGCAGCCCTCGACCTTGGACTTGTGCCAGAATCCAACGACAGCATTGCTTCTGCGAAGTTCTTGTATCTAATGGGTGCTGATGATGTAAACTTGGACAAAGTTCCAGCAGATGCTTTTGTGGTGTATCAGGGGCACCATGGGGACCGTAGTGTGTATCGTGCCAATGTAATTCTTCCTTCAGCAGCATACACTGAGAAGGAAGGCACATATGAAAATACAGAAGGGTGCACTCAGCAAACATTGCCTGCTGTCCCCACAGTAGGTGATGCAAGGGACGATTGGAAGATCATTCGAGCACTCTCTGAGGTTGCAGGTATTCGATTACCTTATGATTCACTAAGGGGCATACGCTCCAGGATGAGGACTGTGGCACCAAACCTACTGCACATGGATGAGATAGAGCCAGCCACTTTTGGACCTTCATTGAGTCCTGAAATCACTCAGGATATAAGCCTGACGCCCTTCAGGCCTGCTGTGGAAAATTTCTACATGACTGATTCGATTACCAGGGCATCAAAAATAATGGCACAATGCTGCGCGATGCTACTAAAGAAGTGAGTGGTGGATTTCAGTATTTAATAAACATTGAGATTCACTTTTTCTTGTTTTTTTTTTTTTTTTTGTTTAATCCTGTCATACCTTAATTTCAGCCATGAACTGGCTGAGCTTCTTGAACAGTGGACAATGTGTCAATAAAGGAAGTTTAGGTCCTTTTGTTTCAATGTAACATGTTTTGCAATGTAAGAGCATTTCCTTGTAAAACACTGCCTGTAAGACACATGGTTGCCGAATTCTTTCTCTTTTGAGATTGACCAGAGATATCCTGATGCCACCGTATTCTATGAAACGTGATTCTCTTATCATTAGTGTTTCTAAGAGCCTTGAAGCTCTATTCTTATGGGTGGCTTCGGGACACATACACCATACGAGTATCCCTTGAATAAGCTTAAGACTGTCTATATTTTTTTTTTTTTTAATTTAAGGAAAGTGAAATACGAATGGGAAAATTCGGATATTGTAAGCAGTTGCAACTCATTGATGTAGCACTTGCTAGAGGGGACATGGTTTTATTGCATTTCTTTTAGACTGTAATTTTCTTCATTAAGATCTACCAAAACATTATTTTGACCAGCTTTTTCAATATGAAAATTTCCATTACCCTTTCTACTCATCTTAAATCATCAATGATGCTTGAAAGCTAAAAATAAATAAATGGATATATAAAATAAACATGGATTATTAATATGGCAATTTGACTTTCAATTGTAGCATCTTAATTAATTTATTGATTTTCACTAGTAACTAGTATTTTGCCTGCAGGACTTCCAAGAATAAGATGAGAAGCATGGGCGAAAAAAGCGAGATGAGGAAGAAAAGAGGAAAAAAGAACTTAAAATTCGAAAATATTCTAAAACAATTCAAAAATGATAAACTCACGTCTCTTGCCCTAGAGACGATATGTGTGCTAGATTCATTATATTCAGCTTAAATATATTACAAGTAATTATTTATAGATTACATAATTTATATCATGAACCCAGAAAATATTTATATTATATTATATAACTTAATATATTGACATTATGTTCTCAAAAATTGATTTAATTATCAATATCAATAATATAATTTACAATACAATTATGGAAATGATTATATTAGCATAATATATTTGGAACATATTAGTATACAACAAATAAATATTTTAAAATCATATTCGCATAAATAAGCTAATTTTTAACAATCACCTTTGGGAGAAAGTCGTGCCAAATTATGTTGTTATCGTTGGGACAGAAAAGTCTTTTTAAGTCAATCATACAAGGAAAAAGAGAAATTAGACATAATGCTTGAAAAATATTATTAATTATTTAAAATGTTAAATATATTTTTATATTTTTATTTTAAATCAAATAAATTTTTATAATTAATGAGTATTTTTTATTAAAAATAATTAATTAATTATTTTTAATTAAAATATTATTTATCATTTTATATCCACTTGATGTTGACATGACACTAACATAACAATATTGTAATAATCATGTCACTATATCACATTATTTATTATGACATGTTAATACAGATCACATCCACGTAATATAAAATGACAAAATAATATTTAAATTAATAATAACTAATCAACTATTAGTTATAAGAATTTATTTGATTTAAAATAAAAATATAAAAACTTGATTGAACACATTAAAAAAAGAACTTATTTTAAATTTTTAAATATTATTTCAAATTTTTTAAAATACCGTAACCCCTCAAATGTTAATCCAGTCATCTACAAGCAAAGATTAGTAGTTTTGCATCAATGGGCTCTCAGCAAATTATCAAAGCCAAAGTTTTTCATTCTGCCATTTTGAATCATAACCCTACTCCTTTTCTCAATAACTTCCTCTCTCTTTCTTCATACCAAGTCCACAAAAGAGTGGATCTTTTGGCTACAATACATCATCTTTTGTTGATATTCATAGCAATGATAAACTAAAGTCCACAAAGCTCTTTCTATTAACTTGTCTCCATTTCAGCATTGCCATCAAAAGCTTAGCCTTTCCAAAGCTGTAATTCCCATTGCTTTTTCCTAGAGGTTACCAAATTCCAATCACAATTCTTTAAGTTTTCCGGAAAATCAAATTGTAAGAAACAAACTACTCTCTAATCATTTATTATTATACAGCTATTGCATAGAATCCATTAGAAACATCAAGGTGGCTTCCAGTCCAGATTAGAGATTATAAAGTCTACATCTGTCTTCAAAGCTATCTTCTTATAGTGTGACTTACGGTTCTGCACTGTTCTTTTCTTCACTCTCTGTAGTGCTTCTCGGAGTTTTCCTTTCAATTCTGCATTCCTTCTCCAATTAGCTTCCTGCAATATGGAATTTCCAACTCCACAATTATCCATTTTTTCACTCTCTGAAGTGCTTCAGAAAAAAATAAATAAAAAATGAAGAGTGCAGAAACACTCTTCAAAAGAACAATTATGTTAGTGATAGAACAATAAATTAGGAGGAATTTGGCTGTAAACTAGTTCTGTTGAAAATTTTTCTTCCCCCTATAAATGATTCATTCTTGTAGAAGCTACTCAAGGAATTGATTATGTGCACTAAATTGCAGAAAATAATTTAAAAGATACCTGCTACTGGGTGGAATCAATTGCGGATTGGTCCTTTGAACACGATGAAATGCCAGACTGATTGTAGGAGTTCTCCCAGTTCTTCCCATCATAAGGCCGAATCTCAACATGGGAGAGCGTTCCAGGGTCTAAACATCTGAATGCAACTGCAATGCCATCTGGGTTTGATCGTGGGGTATAGAATGACGTTATTCCACATATCTTACAAAATGTATGTTTTGCTGTGTGAGTTCCAAAAGTGTAGGTAGTAAGGTACTCTTTGGAATCTCCCAGAAGCTCAAACCTTTCATGCGGTACTACAAAGTGAGTGTTTCCCCTCATGGAGCAGTCGGAACAGTTGCATTTCCAAGCAACAACACTAGTAGGTGCTAGGACATGCCATCTTACTTTCCTGCAGTGGCAACCACCATTGTGCACTACTAGCTTTGGTTCCATGCAAACAACCAGGGCAAAAGCAAGTTTCTCCTAGGTTTATCCTTCTTAGTTTGTGACTGCAATTAGTAATCAACTCCATTAAACAATATGAGTAACAATAACAACAATAATTGTGATAACGGCAACAACAAAAACAACAAGAAGGAACAACAATGTGTTATGTAACAATATTACAAAACTTGGAGCAACAAGAATAATTCCACTAACAACAAAGGAAATAATAGAATTAATAATAATAAGAAAAGCATACCGTAACTCCTTGAGCTATCAACAAATTTATTTATATATACTATATGTATAGATTGCTTTATTTGAATTATTTGAGTGTCTTTTTTTCCTTTGGACTTATTTAGATTCGAAATATGGGCTCTCATTTTGCACTTTAAGAACATAGGATAATTGTACATAGATTTTCATTTTTAATATTTATATTTCTCAATGGAAAATCCAAAATACAAATCCTAAACGAAATGAGGAAGATGAACTAAAGCAAGCTTATTGATCATAGTGACTAATTTGATTTTTCATATGTTCAAGAAAATTACACCAAGACTTTGTTTTGGTCCAAGATTTCTCCAGAGAAACTATGTGACCCTGATGAACCCAAGTCATAGCTAAGTTGAATCAACTCAAAAAGTAGAGACGTTCTAACAATATCCCGCAGAGAGTATAGAAGATAACAGAAAGCTTTATGACTACACAATCTTCCATTTAGAGAACAGAAAAATAGGAGATTTTTCGTACAATCCAATACAGACTGAAATTGACCCATGGATTCAGCCAGGTGTTCTGGGTTTCCTTTCCATTGCCTAGTATTTAGTACCATTCCAATTCAAGAACAGAGTAAGCCACATGTATGAGTTCATACAATCCAATAAAGTCAAACAAAAATATTTGAACCATAACTAAATTACGCCAACCATCCAATCAAAACCATAGTAAGCTTATAACTCATTTTGATTCAAAGCAAGAAGCCACAACACAAAAACTAATTTCAACTAATTAAGTTGAAAGAACATCAGTAATGTTATTCAAAATCAAATTCTTTTTGCAGTTATAGAGGAAAAAAAGAAAAAAAAAAAAAGCAATTTCAAACCCTAAAGGAGAAAATATATACGCAGAAATGGGTATTTGCTTCCTCTTCTTCTTGCTTCAAGGCGGCAACCCTCACTGCTGAGATCCACTGGTAGATGATAGAGAAAGAAACATATACTCGGGAACGGTGAAGTTGCAGTCAGTCTAACCTATAAGGTCAATACATAAAATTTTTAAAAAATAATAAAAATCTGTTTCACAGATTATCAAGTAAATAATATACATAATTTTTAAATTTATTTATTTTAGAATAATAATATAAATAATTTTTAAATTTATTTATTTTATTTAAAGTTATTTAAGTTTTAATTTTATTTTATTTTTAATTTTAAATTATAAAAATATTTTTTTTAATATTAAAATTATATTTAATTAATTAATGTAATAAAAATTATTATT